AACTGCAGCCAAGGTAGGACTTGGCAACCCTAAATGGGTAACACAACAGCCAGGATGAGTGAAGCGGCCAGATCCTCAGGCAGTGCATTGGAACATGTAGGCACAATCCCTGAGCAAGTATTTGACAACCGTTTGAGTCAAGGCAGTCACCCTATGTCTCCGCCTCATTTTTTTAAGGCAGCCGTGAGGTAAATACTATAGGAAACCCAGGTTCTAACTCCTGGTCTCAAAACTTAGCAACTACAAACAGCTTTCCTTTTAGCCCAATGTGCACCTTATAAAAGAGAGGTTCAAAAATGGTTTCTAGCTGGTGCATGAAACCTTTCTCGCCTCTCCAGTTTGCCAACCTCCAGGTGGCACCTGGGGATCTCCCGCTATTACAACTGATCTCCAGGCAGTAGAGATCAGTTTCCCTGGAGAAAATGGCTGCTTTGGAGGGTGGACTCTGTGGCATTATACCCCATTGAAGTCCATCCCCAAACCCAGCCTTCCTCAGCCTCCACCCCAAAAATCTCCTCCCTCACCTCAACTCCTGAGATCAGCTTTATAAGAATAATTACCATGGAGGCATTGCAGAGATGTCTAACATGCTTAGATTCCTGTCAGACAATGACTGTGTAATATGACTGGACTGAGATCTAAAACTGAATCTGTGAACGTCTTTTAATGTTCTTTTTTTAAAACGGTCTTCTGTTTAATCATTGCTAGTTCCATTGGTGGAAAGAGCCATTCAAACACCAAAGAGCTGCAAAAACCTCCGCCCCACGTGAGACCATCCCCTAGCAAGTTAAACAAAAATGTTTCTACTGCCACCGAAAAGGTAAAGTCTTTTATGTTCTTTTTGAGCAGGGCTGTTTCACCAGGCATCAGCTGTTCTTCCTGACTGCAATTATAGTTACATGTTTTAATAAATGTTTCTTAGATTCCCGGTCATGTTGCGGGCAACAGTCAGGGAACTGTTCGCCATAAAGAACGGAACCAACTCTGGGAGAGTCACCAGCAAAACAGGTAGCGTTTTTGTTGCTGTTATTGTTGATGTGGTAAACACTGTGGAAGTACATGGTGTTAGAAGCAATGATGAGGACCTGTCAAGGTAAAAAAAGAACATAAGCAAGTCCAGAGGGGTAGCAGTGTTGGCCTGTTGCCACAAAAACAGACAAGCCACAAACAACAACCACCAAGGGAAGACCATCTGCAATTCACAACTATGTTCAAAACTATATATTACATTCATTGAAATACAAAGAAGGGTTAGTGGTCACACAACCCAATAGAGTGTATAGACATTGATGCCAACAGATTGCTCGTAACAATTAAACATAGTTTAAACAAAGAACATTTTCCAGAACCAACAGTAGGCTCTTCTGTAATTCCATACATAGACAGTGTCCATAGACTTCCACACAGAAAGTAACTGCAGCAGAAGACGCTCACTGTGGAAAGAATAACAGCCGAATGCCTCTCCCAGGTATAAATCAAGCATTTCAATGATCTTCAACAGCAGCTGGTAAAACAGAACTGTGAAGCGATCATAAATATACATAGAACGACAAGATTGACTGCATGATGCATATATCCATTCAAAATCATAGAAAAAATGTGTCTCACCCCAGTTTCCAAAATAACATAGGCACAGCTCAAGAGCTTCAATGGAATCCTAGGGTTCTCTACAAGGCAACCTGCCATGCAGCATTTAACCATATACAAATCAATTGCAATGTAGTTTCTTAAAGTGGACCCGTCCCATTTTTCGCAAAGATGCCTGATTTTCACATACACTCCTATTCTAGTCAATTGCAATCTTACTCAAATAGAGGCAGCAAAATCAAGCATCTGATTCATTCCATTTGGTGCAAAAGTTTTTAATTCAAAAATTAATCTAGACTCCTTTTGCAATAGCATTTTGAAAGGTGAATGGTTTACTCTTGCGCACAAATGCCACAAAAAGCCTCATCTCTTCAGCACTATGCCCAGCTTGTGTGTAATGTTCTGTCATCGGGGCTTGGCTAATGTTATTATGCGCCCTGTAATATATTCCCTTGGTGGATGTTGTTTGTGGCTATACTTTTACACTAAGGGTTCCCTGTTGTCTTTGGCACAAAAATAGACAAGGTGTCATGGCCCTGAAGACAAACTCATGGTGAATTGTGCTGTCCCGAATGCCTGGGGGGTGGGCATGGTCCAGTGGAAGAGCCTCTGCTTTGCACGCAGAAGATCCCAGGTTCAGTCCTTGGCATCTCCAAAGACCCCTGCCTGATACCTTGGAGGACTGCTGCCAGCCAGAGTAGACAATACCTACCTTGATAGACCATTAGTCTGATTGAGTATAAGGCAGTTTCATGTGTTCACTATTTTTGCTAGAATGCATAGAGAAATGACTCTCCATCACATCTGGGGAAAACACTGAAGTGACAGCAGTCCTCTCTAGGACTCACTGAAACCATTGTGGTTTTACCATAGAGTTTCCAGTGATTCCTTGAGAGGTTTCCCCAGAAGTGATTACAAATAATTCTTTCTGCCACTGGCCTCTGGATTCCCAATAGGCACATGTTAACCCTGTCACAACCAATGTTCCTCTAAACTGTGGAGTGTTGTGAGCAAAAAATCTACTTTGTGAGCTACTGGCATTAAAGCTGTGAGCAAGTGATTTGGCTAATGCATAAATTAGTTTGCTCTGAAGCCATCCTTCCTGAGCTGAGACAAGAATGTGTGAGCCGGAGGCTAAAAAACTGTGAGCTAGCTCACACTAACTCAGCTTAGAGGGAACACTGGTCACAACCCCAGTATAGTTGAGGTGGAATATTAGGCCAGGACCCAAAGGACTATGTGGCACTGGGCCCACAGGGGATTTTCAGGCCCCCTGGTTTCCACTGCCCTCCAGATGAGCATTCTTTGAAATTCAGTGGGGCTGCAAATGGAGGAAAGAAATCAGTCTTCGCATGCAGAGGCATCTTAACGGAGCATATGGCGGTCTTATGCTCTCCTGGCCTAATGTATTTACTGATGAACGTTTCCTCTGAAGAAGTACACTCTGCCACTAGCATCTGCTAAAAACAGCCATTACTCTCCTACAGGAAAATGCTTAGTAATTCAATTTACCCCAAAGAATGCTCATTATTAAAATATTTACAGACTGCCTTTCCCTGCATGGGAGCTTCAAGGTGGTTCCTAACCCAAGGGAGATTCACACATTTAGAAGCCAGAGCGCCAAATTGGGTTGGCACGTCCAGATCTTAAGAACATAAGAAAAGCCCAGCTGGATCAGACCAGTGGTCCATCTAGTCCAGCATTCTGTCTCTGGAGGACCAACAGCAAGGCATAGAGGCCGAGGGCAAGGCCTTCCCCTGATGTTGCCTCCTGGCTCTGGAATTCAGAGGTTTAGTGCCTCTGAACGTGGTGGTTCCCTTTAGTCACCATGGGTAGTAGCCACTGATAGACCTGTCCTCCCTGAATCTATCAATCCCCTTTTAAAGCCATCTATGCCTGTGGCCATCCCCTGGAAGCAAATTCCCCATTTTAATCACTCACAGTGTAAAGAAGTATTGCCTTCTGTTGTATGTGAGCCGGCTTTGGAAGTCAGCCTTCTGAAGCTTCAGTTGTCATTCTGGGCATGACTTGGAGGATGCGCTGGTGTCAGAAAAGGAGAAGCAACATTGGGTTGGTGGTGTCATTCCAGTGACACAGCCAAGAGAGCTGAAAACTCCAGAAGTGGGGAGAAAGCCAGCAATACCCAGGTGACCTCAGCCTCCTAACCAAGCACCACCTTTTCCAGCAAGTTGTAGGCACAGGATCTAACGGAAGCAGCATTTCAGCGGTGCTGCGGTGCTTTCCAACATGCCGGGTCCATCTTTCAAAAAGGCAATCATGCTCTCTTTTATTCCCCCAAGTTACACTAAAGAATTCATTATAGGAAGGGAAGTTGCCAAAATGCGGGGTCCCCACCCCCCTTTCTTAATCATTCTGTATGCTGGTTAAACGAGAGCTTTAAAATAGGAAGATTTTTGGATCATCTCGCCAGAAAAGAAAGAGAGAGGCAAGCTCAATCAAAACCGTTTAGCTCAGTTGAAATGAAATGAATGGCACTGATTTCGGCATGACTGGCACTTGTCCAGAAAGACTAGCTGCGAAGTGCATGTCTGTTCTTCGTTTCTCATCTGTGTGGGGTTTTTTCCCTTTAATACAAAAGCCAGCCTTTAATTTTGGATACGAGTTGGAATTCATTCAACACACTGTTGACAGAATCACAATGCTTGTTAACATATAGGAAGCTGGTTAAACTCAGCTGGGCGCAAAGCATTGTGCTAAAGAGCTAGGAAACAGATTTTAAAAAGAGGATAAGTGTTTCCTTTTCACGTAGGATCGGGCCGCACAGCTGCAGTCCCGTGTTCACCATTGCGCTCGTTGAGGGGCTTGCTTCTGAGAATAAATGCTGAGGATGACACTGGGTCAGATCCTAACCAGCTTTTCTGCTGGTGCAAGAGAGGAGGGGGCCCCTTTGACACCCCAAAAGGCAATGCTGGAGATCCTGGGGCCCGCTACGACAAAATGCCATGTGGGAATGGGCTGTGGTGAAATGGGGGATTGGGTGAGATCACCATCACACACATACCCCGCCGCCCCAGTGGGAAAGCTGGTAGGATCCAACCCTAGGGTTGCCAAAGAATGTCCTCTGCTTTCAGTAGAGTTTAACTAGATGTTATAGACCAGGTGACCACCGTGCAATGTAATGCTTTAGCTGCCCGTTTGCTCACTTTAAGCCTGCGTTAAAGTAGCAGGACATTTTTCACCAGGCTTGTTGGTAACCCTGTCCAATCCACCTTTAGGCTGTAATCCTACTCGTAAGGGATAAGCAACTGGAAGCTAGAGGGAACTTCCTGCTGGCCTCTAGCATAAGCACCAGTTCAGACTCCCCACATAACTGTGCAGTTCTGCCACTTTTGTTCTGTGCAGTCAGAAAATGTGGTCAAGAGCCCTTTCCCCATATCATATGGAAAAGGATGGCATTCAAGAGCCCTTTGCCCCAATCTCAGCTTCTGTAGAAATGAGAGAGGGCAGAAAGACCCAGGACTTAGTGCTCAGCTTCCTAGAACTGGGTTGCCAAGCTATCACTCCGCAGCTAGGCTGCGTTATAAGGAGAGAGCTCTGCCAAAGCTTTTGTTGCCGTTTGCATGGAGGAGGAGGATGGAGGTCAAGAGCCCTTTCCCCATATCATATGGAAAAGGATGGCATTCAAGAGCCCTTTGCCCCAATCTCAGCTTCTGTAGAAATGAGAGAGGGCAGAAAGACCCAGGACTTAGTGCTCAGCTTCCTAGAACTGGGTTGCCAAGCTATCACTCCTAGATAGAGCCTTTCTTACTGATTGTTTTGGGGGCCACTTTTCCAAATGAATCCATTGGTGCAGTGGCACATGCAGGTTACAACTATGTAACCTGTGCAATCTTTTTTTTTTTTTAAGTGTACAGTCTGAAGACACACCTTGACTGGCTGATGCCTCATGCTTTTCCTTAAATGTTGGGTTGGGCAGGAAGACCTTTTCCACAAGAGGGATCAATTCCCCCAGAGAAGATGGTTGCTTTGGATGGTGGACTGTATGGCATTCTACCCTGCTGAGATCCCACCACTTAACCTACAATCCATTCCAAAATCTCCAGGAATTTCCCAACCTAGAATTGACAGCTCTAGCTACTTGGAGGACGTGCAGCTAAAAATGTCCTGCCTTGGAGACTTGCTATGGTTGAAACGTGGTCTAGAAATATAATAAATATCTACTAGATAAGACAGAGGAAATGGAATGCCAACAAATTTATGTTTTTCTGTAAGAGGTCCGTGCTTAGAGAATATTCCCACTATATTTTATGCTTCCTATTATTTTTTGCTATGAGGAATTGCTTCTTGCCATGATAGTCTATTATGGTTCGCAGGCTTTCAGATTATCTGCTGCTGCATTTGCCGGTGGGGATGAATGTGTTACCTAGAGGGTTGTGCTTGTTGCCGCGGGAGTTGGAAACATTAGGAGCAAATTTGGTACCTGCCATTGTAACAGCTGATAGCAGCGATGTGAACATATAAAATCATTTCGGTCTCGCTTACTCGTGTTGTGTCAAAGTTTTATGCCTTTATTGATGGCATCTTTTTGTTTCTGCCCTCTAGCCCCAGTTTGTAGCTATGCATTTTTAATGACGTGTAGCTGAGACAAATGAATCGACTGACCTTTTTTTAAAAAAAGTGCTGATGGTAAATATTCTTTTTCCATCCAGAGCCACAAATGTTTGCACTTCCTCACAGAAAGCACCAAGGGCATCGCAGGGACCTGTGGTGAAAAAGCATTATGAAGCCGGATACCGCAAGGTCCCTTCTGCATTGAAGGACGCCGCTTGGAATGACTCCAGTAGGGCAGAAGAAGTGCTGATTCAGAGTTTTTATTACAAAAAACCTGCCAAATCAGAAAGGAACTCTGGAAGGCATATGGACGAAGCGGACCCCTGCAGCTCCATGCATCAGGGCGCTTCTGCTGAGGCCATGTTTCTCGACTTCGCATCTGTTCGAATGATGAAGGAGGATTCCAATGAGGACAGCGCCAGCGACCTTTCAGACTCAGAGAGAATACCCATTCCCCCTTCCCCTTGCACGCCGCCGGAGCTCAACCTCCGGGCCGAGGAAATCGACCCCCTTTGTTTCGAACACCTCACTGAGGCCAAGTGCAAGCAGTCCGATTACTGCTACCCCGACTTCCTCCCGCCCCCGTTCAACACCTGGGACTTGAAAGGGCTGGCGTCCTTCGTGAACACCGAGTGCAAGTCAGAAGTGCGGCCCCAGCCGACGGGCAGTCTCGAGAAGTACATCGATCGGCTTCTGGAGCTGGAATGGCTGCAGATGGAAACGATACAAGCCGAGAAAGGGAAGGCAGCCAAGGCCCGGCCTCAGACTGCGCCCAGCGCCCTTCGGACCTTGAAAAGCCCCGGGAAAAGTAAATCGTTGCACACTCTCCTGCCAAGCAAAACTTTGACTGCGCCTGAAAGCTTCTCGAGGCTCCCGAGCTACCAGACCAGTCACAGAAGAGATCTGCACAGTGAAGGAGCCGGCCAGGTGGCTTCATGTCAAGGGCATTCGAGACCAACCTGTGGTCCCTCAGCCCATCAAAGACAGTCCTCTGAGGGGAAAAGTGGTGAGGCGAAAAAGCGGCCTGGCGCCGCCAAGGTGCAGCTTTTCAATAAGCCTCCCTCAGAGGGCAGCTCAATGATCCAAGGAGCTGGCAACATTAGGCCCCCTAAACAATCCTCCTCCCTCCATGGTTCAGCGGTCCCCCTCAAGGGCCTACTGGCCTACACATGCCCAAATCCCAAGAAGAATGGAAACACCAACAGTTATGTCCCTTCCAAAAAAGTTCAAGCGGAGAAGAAGCTAAAAGCCAATGGCGTGAAGCCAATGCCGTGTAAATTTAAATAATACTGGGGTCGGGCTTGTTGTGCTTTGTTGCGGGGGGGGCTTGGAAACCCTTCTTGTGGGGGCTAAAAGCTAGAACGGTGGTTCATAAAGTGTGCGATAGGCCATCGTAGGGAGGTGTATACTCCTGGTTGTCCCTCCCACCTTGTGTTGTGATTGGGCTGCTGACCCTCGCACGGTGTTCTGTGATTGGGCCCTTTTAACCCTTTCCAATCAGTGCCACTGATTCACCCCTTTCCATTCAGTGCAACTGAGAAATCTAACAGTGTCATCCTAAGTGGAGTTTCTCCCTTCTAAGCCGGTTGGCTGCAATGGATTTAGCACTACAAGTGATCCATTGCTTTCTCTGGTTTTTACTGTTGGGGCTTCCTGACTTCCCTGGTTCCCCTCCATAAGCATGACTCCAGTAGAGCGCTCTGTGGCTCCCTTAGAAAAACTCCTGTGGGGCTTTTTGGGGGGTCTCGGGCAGCGGGGGTGGAGGCAGGCGGTTTTTAAAGCAGGCGCACGCGGGCTGGAGTCCAGAGACCAGTCCTGTGGTTAAGAGAGGGAGGATAGTGAGGAAGAGAAGCCGGCAGGAGCTGGCGGCAACTTGGCTGAGTTTAAAGGGGAGGGGAGTGTCAGAAGGTAGCTCTGGGGGACGAAGGATTCCACTTCTCTGGAGTGCCCAAGGAGCTCAGTTGTCCGGCAGCCAGGTTGGCGGCAGCGCTGTGCGCAGGTGGCGAGTTGAGGCATTTTGTGGACAGCCCGGGAGGGAGGTTGTCCAGAAGAAACGTGAGGGGGCCGGGCCCCATGGGCCCTGCGTTAGCTACAGGCCTGCCCTCCATCTGAATAAGTTACATTCTGCACAAAGTTGTTCCCAAGGTCCAGCAGCATTTCTGGCCTGGGCCTTATTGACTAGTAGCTCAGGGACTGCTCAGTTCTCTGGTGCCTTAACAAGAATCGCCTTTTGGGAGCTTTGCCTGTCCGAGCGGCAGTCAGGATCCGGGCATTGGACAAAGCAGATCAGAAGTGGGGAGAACCGCAACCAATTTTTTGTGCAATTTGCTGTTGTTGTTGGATGAAACATTCTTACGCATTGGATGTGTTTCTCGACACAGGCTCGGCATACCCTGAACTCTGTTTTGTAGGCTCGTGAGCCAAATCTCCTTTTGTCTTCCAAATCAGAAGAGAGTTTGTTGGGGGGGGGGGAGAATTCCAGAAAGGTAGCCCCATTCAGTCTGTGGCAGCTAAAATGCAAAGGAGTTACATCCCACCTTAAAAAATGAACAGATTTGTTGTGGCTTAAGCCTTGGGGTTAAGCCTTGGGGTCAAAGAAGACGGGGACGGCAAAGGATGAGATGGTTAGACGGTGTCATCGATGCAACGAACATGAAATTGAGCCAACTCCGGAGGACGGCGGAAGACAGGAGGGCCTGGCGAGAGCTAGTCCATGGGGTCGCGAAGAGTCGGACTCGACTGTGCGACTGAACAACAACAAGCCTTGGGGGATTAAAGTGCAGTGTTATCTACCAAAGGAGATAATTTTTTGTGCATCTGATGGTGTTGGGCAAGAGTTCATGAAAGCTCATGACTTACACATTAAGGGTCCACAAGATTCCATTGGTGGTGGTGGGGGACCTCTTTTGTAATCACCTTTGTTATGTGCTGGCCAGATTTGTACTCCAAAGCAGAATAATTCACACGAACACACAAACAATGCTTCCTTATACTGAATCAGTCCATCAGGTTCAGTATTGTCTACTCAAAACGGGCAGCAGCTCTCCAGAGTCTCAGGTGAAGGTCTTTCCCATCACCTACTTCCTGATTGTTTTAACTGGAGATGCCAGGGATTGAACCAGGGACCTTTTGCATGCCGAGCGGAGGCTTTTCCAGTGAGCCATGGCCCCTCCCCTAATTCCAGTCTTCAGTGACATGATGATGTTCATATGACTCTTCAGTTTCCAGCAACAGCCCCTCAAATGGAAAGTGATCATGTTCCCCCCTGTACATACTGAAATTAACATTTTATTGGTTGACATTATGCTCTCTGACCATGCAGTCCTAAGAACGTTTTCCTGAAAGTAAGACCCATTGAGTAGACCTGAGTGGGAATCTGAGTAGACCTTCTTAGGATTGCTCTGTAAATTGCTGAATTACACCTCGTCTCTCTCCATCGCCTGACCAAAATTCCCTACAAATCTGAAAGCATGGGATTTGACCGCATTAAATTGTTCATAAAAGTCGTAACAAAACATGCTGTTTTGTTGTACCTCCATTGTAAGAAGTCGCATACTCAGGAATGGCTGGACATCATTTTTGTCTGTCTAGATGTGATGGGGTTGATTCCAGGTCCACCTCTAGGCTTAAAAGAAGATTCTCATATTTAATACAGGTCACTGTTTTCGGTGTTTCAAAAAGTCCCTCTGTGTTGCAGTGAATATCAACGTTTGCTGTATGTTTAAGCATGCCTTTGTCAGAGTCAATGAAATGTCAGGTTACTCTGTTCAGAAATCAAATAAATTTAACTTTGTGCAGGGGGCTGAACCCCTATTTTTTATGTCGTCTTTCGTCTTTGTAAACTTTCTGCTTTTCTCTCCATGCCTGCAAGAAACTAAATCTAATACTTATGTACAGGGCTATTTTTGGGCCAGGAACACACAGGAACGGAGTTCCGGCTGGCTCCCAAGTTGACCAAGGCCAGCAGGAACTCATTAGCATAACAGGCCACACCCAATAGCAGAAACTCATTAGGATTGGCTACATTAGGGGTGTGGCCTAACATGCAAAGGAGTTCCTGCTACAAAAAAAGGCCCTGGGTTTTGACAACAAACAAGGTAAACAGAATAAGAAGCAAAAGGTGGGTGCGGCTGGATGTCAACACTTCTGGTAACATGGGGGTGCAGCCTAATATGCTAATGAGCTATGCTCTCATGGGTGTGGCTGGATAGGCTAATGAGTTTCTGTTGTTGGGTGTGGCCTATTATGCTAATGATTTCCTGCTGGGCGTTTTTTACAAAAAAAAGCCCTGCTTATGTAACTATGTGGTTTTATACGTGATAGGAAAAGCTGAAGGCTGCAGGAAGAGAGGAAGACCTGGCACGAGATGGATGGACTCAATCCAGGCAGCCACGGCTCTCGGTTTGCAAGACCTGAGCAAGGCTGTTAACGATAAGATATTCCGGAGGACATTGATTCATAGGCTCACCATAAGTCGGAAGGGACTTGACGGCATTTAACACACACAATTTTTAATGGCATTTTTTTTAAAAAAAATGTTCAAAGCATTTCAGATACCTCAGAAATCTGTACAACAGGCCCTGTAAGGTAAGACACTTTCCATATTACATATAAAGGGCTTAGACTGAGAGTGCGGTTTGCCTTGGTGCACTGCCACCTACGTTATAGCTGAACTGAGTCTGAATTTTGTTGTCTGCAATGTCACTCTGTAATTGCTCCTCTCAGACATCTCTAAAGGGATATTGTAGCTGGCGTGATGTTAGATTCCAAGAGGTGCTATAATTTCGAAAACTATATTAGTCCCGCCTTTCTTCCGCTCTCCTTCTCTCCCTTCAACAGCCCTGTGAAACAGAGAATGACTGATGTGACCTTGGGTCAGTCACAGTTCCCTCCGAGCTGTTCTCTCAAGGGCAGTTTCTCTCAGAGCTCTCTCATCCCCACCTACCTCACAGGGTGTCTGTTGTGGGGAGGGGAAGGGAAGGGAAGGGAGATGGTAAGCCATTCTGTGACTGAGTGAAGGGCGGGGTATACATTCAATCTCTTCTTTACTTCAGATACCGAAAACAGAGAAAATGCCACTATATTTGGTTGAGAGATGTTGACAGCTGTGTTAACCTGTAACCACCAAAACAAATGGTGTAGTGAGGGCCATCCTAAGCAGAGTGACACCCTCCTGAGTCTATCAAAGTCAGTGGGCACAGAAGCATGTAGCTGCTTGGGATGGCACAGTAAATGTTCATTTCAGAGGGTAGCCGTGTTGGTCTGTAGTAGAAAAGGAAGATTTGTGACTGAAGGGAGCATCCATAGGCAGTGAACCTCTGCAAACCAGTGCTAGGAGGCAACATTGGAAAAGTCTTGGCCTGTGTATCAGAATTTGTTGGCCCCGCGAGGTTGGCCGCTGTGTAAAATGGGGTGCTGGCTAGATTTCTGTTATCTTCCCCCACGCACATTTGGTGCTGTGTCCCCTCCCACCAAGCCCACCAGCAATTATTTCCACAGTTTAATGATTCATCGAGTGAAGAAGTAAAATGGGGTGCCGACTAGATGGACCACTGGTCTGGTCCAGCAGGAGTACAAGCAACAGGGCTTGGGGAAGAGGAAGTTAACTGGTGAATCAAATCAGAGAGGAATGCCTGAATGGCTAAAACCCAACCCAGTTCAGTATGCTACAGCCTGCCAGTGAACTTTGAAGGACAGGCCGATTTACATGATTCTGGGATGCTGTTTGTGGCTCACATCGTGTGCACAGCTGCCACCCCCTGGAAAGACTGAGAAGTGTTGCACCAAACTTCAGGCGAATGAGCAAACACCTGTGAAGCCACTGTGTGCAAAAGAATCCTGGGCTGAACACCGGCCAAGTGCTAGCTGGTCGTTCCAACCAGTTCTGAAGGTTGAAGTCGCTCATAGAGATGGAGGCAAGGAAGATCAGGGAATATGGCTGGGAGCACGGGGGACGGCAGAACCGAATTGGAGTGTCACGCAAATTGCAAAGGGGCAGCCGTGTTAGCCTGTTGGAGCAAAAGCAAGCAAAAACCCAGTCGCTCCTTAAAGACTAATTAACAACTAACAATTTGCATGCCGCCTCTCCTAAGCTGCTCCCCACTGTTTCTTTGAGGCTCCCCTCCAAAGGTTGCATCCCTTGCCTTTTGTTCAGTTGACTGTTGTTGTCGACTCGGCTGTAAAGAGGGCTTCCTTGTACCTTGCAATAATTTTCTCACCCCTGCCTGACCAGACACACGTGGGAAAGTGGACTTAGGGTTGACAAGAGGTTGGAGAGAAAAGGGTCC